CTCTCTCTCACTCCCTCTCTCTTTCTCCCTCTCTCCCTCTCTCTTTCTCTCTCTCTCGCCCTCCCTCTAAAGAAACCTGGGTAAGGCATTGGATACTTTTGGAAAGATGCCCAGCCAGTGCCCATAAAACCCCCAACTGCTTAACTAGGCCCTAACCCCAACCCCATGCAATGTGTGTGCCACTACTTACCGCTGCAATATGGTAGCATATTTCTCTGTTTCTGTTTATCCCACAGAGGCTGTTTTTTTGGTTTTTTTTTTTCAGTTTCAGTTTTTTTTTTCACTCTTGTCCCAGTTTCTTTAAATGAAATACTAATGGTGTGACTCTGCTGTTACTTGACACACATTTCACTTTCAGTTCTGTTTGGACTATTATGATAACTCACAGTACACACACATGTACTGGGATATAATAACTGCCGATTTTGAGCGCATCCAAAGGAGAAAGGAAAATAAAATATTGTCAGCTCAAAACCAATACAAAGAAACAAAGCAAAAAAACATGATGGCAGTACGACAGTAGCCAAATGCATCCATATGACTTGCTTGTGTGTTTCCACATTCCTGTCACTCTGCTCTTATTTGTTTCCTAATCCCTGCCTACATGGCTCTTTCCCCCTCCTGTCTTGGTCTCTAGCCGCCTGTTCCTCGCTGTCTTTGTCTCCTTTTCTCTGTCCTCATGTCTTGATCTGCCACCTGTCACTCTGTCACACCGAGGGGACAGGCTAGTGTGTCCATTTAAGCTTCAGACATTAAGCCTGACCGATAGAGAGAAAGGGGGCTTGGACCAAGTAAGAGAGGGAACACACAGGGGCCTCCGAGATTGACAAGCACCAATTGGCTGGCAACACCAACCCGTCTAATCCTTTTAAGATTTTCACATCAGTGCCCCCTGCCACTGCCGCACAATGTCAAAGAAAGAATCAGGGCACCGGCGAAAATTGTGGAGAATTATCAGACCCAGAAAGGCCACGTGCAGAATTGTTTTTTGATGTGTTTTGCGGTTGTTTGTACTTAGCCAACAGCTTTGCTGTTGTTTGGCTGACCAGTTGCTTGCAGGTACGACCCTATCATTTATTTACAAACACCACACACACACAAACATATACACAGCCACTCAGTGCAAAAATGTATAATTTAACAGACTATTCAGTGATTTTTCTTTTCTTTTGCACAATGCATGAGCTTATGGAAATATGTGCACACGGGGCAAATTCAAATGTGGGCAGTAACCTTTTAAAAAGCAAGTGGATAATTTATTTGTTTATTTGTTTGTCATTAATGATGTAAGATGGACAAACATGTGCATGACCATGCATAATTTAGATATTTATGGTCATGCAATAATTTAGAGTAATTTTATATATTTCTTTCTTTATACATCAGGTGCATACAATAAATGTGCTCTGAACACACTTTCTGCGGAAGTGCTGTTTGGTTTTGAGTTTTTTTAACTAGAAGAATGCATGTCTGTGTCAAAAAGATGTACTAGTGCTTTGTGTAGTAACTGTTCTCACTTAATCCTACTTGCAATTTCATGCTAATGCAATATTCAGGCACCTTAAATTATGGCCCAACAAAACAAGGGAAATGAACAGTTTCCCCTGTGTATGTGTGTGTCTGTGTGTCTGTGTGTGAGAGACTGTATTTGAGTGTGTGTGTGTGGTGTGTGTGTTGTGTTGTGTAGTAGTGTGGTCTTGATGTGAACACAGAAGAGTGTGTGTGCCTACCCCAATGTAATAGTTCCCACTGAATCTAACAATCACCCAAAGCTGGTGTGTAAGCGAGCCCATTCAGTGTTTCTAAGGCCAAGTTGCATCTTGTGAAGGAAATGGCTGAGAGCGCAAGTGGTGTGTGTGTGTGTGTGTGTGTGTGTGGTAAGGAGTGGGTGGGTGTGCTGGTAGATTAATGGGGTTGAAAGAGAAAGATGAACCTTGTCCACTTCTGTCAGATCCTTCCATCTTTTGGTTCTTGGAGTGGAGCCTTTCCCTACACTGTTTGATCTGCCCTTCGTACCGCCGGGTTTGGATCCATGCAATAATAGACACTAGTGTGTGTGTGGTAATGAGACCACAGTGGGATATTAGCATAGGCCTCGGCACTGGACATTGATCGTGAGCATCATTGTCCCTGATACACTGGACAGAGATGGAAGAGGCAAGACAGGGTGCTGAGTGTGGCGGGCTCTTACTGTAGAATTCACACCACACACACACACACCACCACACAACACACACCACACACACAGAGAAGGTTATAAAGATTCAAAAATGCTGCAGACAGCAACAAATTAAAAGGAATGTAGGCCTAATTATTTAGCAGCTGCTATATTACTTCACGTTTTTTTTAAAAAGAACATTAACGGATATCCAGAGAGAATGATAATAAAGGTGTTCATTTATTCAAATAATTCATTTAAAATAGAATCACCAGTAAACTGAGTATTTAATAACCAGACATTGCAAGTTGTTCATCCTTTGTCTTTATTCAGTTTTTTCTCACACATATATTGTGTCTAGCCGTATTTAATATTTAATTTCTTTGTTTTTCCAGCCTACTACAAATATAAATTAAAAGGAAAAATCCTTATAATGGAATTAATAATAATAGCTTTTAAAAATAAACCGTTTCGATTATTCACGGTTCAATTAACTCATCTTAAAACAAGCGTTTACTTTGACCCCATGTATCCCAACTTACCAAGAAATTGCTCGTGCACTTGTGTTTAGGCCACAAGTGGGGAAAGAGAACGAAATATGCCATCTGCATTTAAAGAAAACTAAATAACATCAAAATCGATTGGCTTTCATAATACAAATTTCATAACAATAAATGGACAATGATAATGTCCTGCGCTTATTTATATGATTGTGTGCGCCGCGCGTAGTGTTTGCGCTTACGTGAGCGTGTCTGAAGAGTGATCGTGACGATAGAGTGAGCCAAAGATCATGTCGGTGCTGATGCCATTAATTTACATCAATAATGATTTATCAAGCGGCAAAGCGCGGCTGGATCGAGATGCGGGAGGGGTCTGCGCCCGCATATCGCTCAATCCTTTGCTGGAATTAAGACGAGGACCGAGTGGCCGTCGGGAACCGAGAGACGCACCCCAAGGGCAATAGGAATCACTGAATGAGAGAGTAGAGTCCAGAGAAGAGAGAGAGAGAGAAGAGAGAACTAATAATCCTCATGCAAGACGCGTTCACCGTTGACTAGATTTAGAGAGTAGCGCCAGGCAGAGAGCGTCGCTTGCATCCAGCCCCAGAGGGAAGATCAGCTCGAACCGTCCGCAGCGCGTCTGCGCTCGCGCGACTCCTCTTCGCCCGACCCTGTCCCAGCGCCCCGCTCCCGTTCCTACCCGGTAGACTACTTTATGGGTTTGTGTCGCACTCCACCGGGACTGAAGTGCCTACTGCAGCAGCTGAGGCTCTCCCCGCAGCGCCGCGCAACTTTCTCCAACTCTTCCGTCCACGGAGAAAAGAAAGGGTAGGACGAAACCAGTATAAGAGGCGCCCGCAGCGTTGATGTGTAGGGCTAGAACTAATTGTTGTAAATAGTGCTACATATCATAAAATA